TTCTATTTTTGTAGGACACAGAGACGACCACCTGGTGGAGGCAGGCTAAGGCTTTTGTCGGAGGAGCAAGAGAGGGAGCTTGTAAACATGGTCATTGCCAATAATGTAATCCGCCTGCAAGAGATTAAAAGGAGAGTGATTGAGGATAATCATCATTTTCGAGGGATAAATGCCATCAGCCTCTCCACAATTGATCGTATCCTCAGAAAGCACCGGTTCCGGATGCCGGAATATAGCCTGTGATGTGGACGAGATTCTCTGGCCTGACCCAGAACAAAGACGGGATGCTGAGGCGGATTTTATTTTTTTTTTTTTTACAGTTGTGCTGTGTAGTACATGAATGAATAAAAATGTGCCAATGTATACATTGGTTGTGTCTTTTGTGTTCATGTGAAAAGGTTTTTGAGGGGGTTTTTGACAAGCAACATAACTTACCAGTTTTGGATATATTGTTTTGAATTTATTGCACCAGTGTGTAATACTATGTTGTAGTGTGTGTGTTTTTGAAAGCTTGTGTGTGATGTCTGAGGGAAAAGTTTGTTTTTTCAGCAAGAGTGAATGGTTTTGAGTGTAGAGCTTCATTTTGACCTGAAAATAGGATGTTTGGGGAATTGGGTGAGACGTTATGGATTTGTGTTTACTGTTTTGAGAATACGAGGCATAGTTTCAAGAAATGTGTTTAAGCAATCGAGAAAAACTGTGTAAAAAACGCTGGTTTTCAGGTGTATACTCCTCATACATGATTAATTGGAAAATGGTTCTAAATCAAATTTAAAAATGGAAAAAATTATATGTGAAAGAATAATATTATTATTATTATTATTATGTATTAGTAAAAATACAGACCGGAAGGGTGGTTTTCTATTCTTGTGTTTTATTTGGTCCAACATCAACCTTGAACAACCAAGAGAAAAGAATTAAGACTGCAGATGAGTTGTTTTGGTTGTGAGTCTGTTGATACTGATATTCAGATGACAGGGAATCATGGTGTTGCAGGGTAAGCAGAGGCAATGTACTTCTTTCCATCCCCATAGCTGCTGTTGTCCCACGTATAGGTCTGAATGCCCAGAGTCTGTCCTCCCAAACTCACATAACATCTGAGAATACAGTCAAGCAGGTGAGCATTCCATGCAATGCATATATAAAGTTGTAGATTTACTCGTATGAACAAAAATGAGTTTTATTTGATGAATGGCTGGATGGACAAATGAATGTGCATAGGCAGAGAACAAAAACGAACAACTCACTTTTTGCCAGGGCGGGTGATGTAGCAGAGACTGTAGATAGCCAGATCAAATTACAGCCAATAAAGGCAGAATCAACCTCTTTGAAATCGCCATCCCATTCAAACTGCATTCCAAATACATCAGGATATGTGCTCCACTGAAAGAGAGGAGAAACTTGTCTTTTACTAGATCAAAACTTATAATACAAGTAGACATCCAGACTTTTAAAATGCATGTTGTACTAGCACTGGTTTGTTTTGATTCACATGCTCAGTAGAACTCACAGGGCCATTAAAGCTATGGCTGTAGTAATTCAGGAGTCCCTGTTTCTCATTCAGATAAAACTGCAGCCAGTTGTGGAAACCAGACACCTTTCCACCTTTAATTTCCCCTGTTGACACACTACATGTCAGCCAAAGAGAGATAAAAAGCAGTCTGACAGTCAATCACATGTGGTCAACACAGACTGACCTACAAAGATGTGCTCAAACCCGCTGGAGTCCAGTTTGCCACTAGATCGAGAGTAAAGACCAAACCACATCATCTTCAGATCCTGGATAAACTCGCTCTGTGAGGACTATGATAGAATCATATTCTTGACATTTCAATACCTTCTGTAATTATACAAAAAAAAGAAAAGAAAAGAAAAAAAAAAGAACAGAAACACATAAACTCTTACAAATGGCTTTATTTACATAAAATACAAAATCTTCCTAGATTTCACATGTATGACAGTGATAGATCTGAGGTTTGAGGTTATGGATCAGTGTCAGCGGCGCAGCGGAAGCCCAGATTAGAGGCAGAACTGTCCGGAGTATTTTGACTATGGGCTGCACACCTGTATCTGTAGCAGTAAGACTACAGAGAGAGAGAAAAATATGTTAACGTGTATTTAAACAAGTTGTATAAAAGCTTCCAGATGAAGGTTGTATTTTCCTCTTAGGTGCATATATATTTGGTGTATATAATATGTGCATACCAGCTTTACACTACTGTTCAAAACTTTGGGGTCGGCAAGATTTGTTTTTGAAATCTATTATGCTCACCAATGCTGCTTTTATCTGATTTTTTAAAAATACAGCAACTAACTTTTTGTCTATTTTAATAGATTTTAAAATGTCATTTCTTCCTGTGATGGCAAAGCTGAATTTTCAGCAGCCATTACTCCAGTCTCCACCATCACATGATCTTCAGAAATCATTCTATTATGCTGATTTGCTTAAGTATTCTATTATGCTGATTTGCTTATCACCTGCGGGCTTTCACATTGAGCAGCATTAACTACACAGAGCCGTTGTTCACTGACGAGCTGCGCAAAACTCTACACTCCTATCCAGTAGGTGGCGGGAATGCACCATTTAAGTTGGTTTGCCAACCGCCATTAAATTTAAAAGAAGAAGAAGGAAGAGCTGCAAAATCGCGCGAATATGAACGTGGTGTTGCGCAGCTTGCCTGTGAACAACGGCTCTGTGTAGTTAATGCTGCTCAATGTGAAAGCCCGCAGGTGATGGAGATTTACCGCTGATTAAAGAACCGGCTTTACTGACAAGATGCGCGTTAAATATCGCATGCGATTTATCGTGCAGCCCTAACAGGTATACGACTTGAAAACATATCATCTGATTAAACAGTATATTTTATTTATTATTCAGATTTTATTGTGCTTTTCTGTTATTTTTTGTAAAAAACAAAAAAAACAAAAAGGCAGTCAATGAAACAAAACAACACTTTACTCGTCAAGAATATGATAACTGCAAACATAAGTGATTAACTGAACAAACCTAACTTACTGCGTATATCATGCTCTGTCTTGTGTGGGCTTTCGTTTGCTGTTTTGGAGTATATATTTGCACCATCGTGATGTTCCAGTTTGTTTTCATCACTTATATAAAAGGTGACATCGCTTTTCAGTCCCTGACAACCACAACAATACGTGCCCTGTGACTCAGACGACTGCTGTTCGAGCACGATGTCGCCTATATCACTACGCACTGCTAAAATGCAGAGAAATAAACCTGAAGAACTATTCAAAGTTGATGCCATAGCCAGTTTCAACTCTGTTCCTGGTGAACTGCAAGTCTGTAAAGAGTCATGTGATCAGTCAGCTGACGTCGATGCTGCTATGCACAGAAATGATGGAGTTCACTGTCCTGGACTCATCTAACGTTTAAACAGCTCTCCGTTTATGTTCTCATTCATCTCAGTTGCAGTTACTCAGCTAGCGTGTAACATTTGCTTTAGTCACCTAGTTGTGCCGCTGCCGAAATCGGTGACCTACAGAAATCTGTGACTAGAGGTCGCTGTTCATAAAATGTTCGTGCGAGGACGCGCCAGGCGCTCGTTCACATAATCTTGGGGGAGCCTGTTTAAGTGATGAGGAGAAACAGGTTCATTACATAAAGAAATTATATTTTTAGACACGCTGTCTGGGTGCTATTGCTTGTTCTATAATTATTATTTCATCATTATTATTTTACTGTTTGTGTTTTAATTTGATACTTTGATTTTTAATTATGTATTGAATATATGAATAAAACGATCCATTTAATCTGGAATTATTATATATAGGACATTATTATTATTATTATCATTATTATTATTATTTTCAGGACAGACTGTCTGTAATGCTCCTTAAATTAACTCTGTTTATGTCTAAACTTCTCACTTCTTTATTTTTTTAAAGCATTTTGGTCTGATTGCTCTGATGTGGACAGCTGCAGATAGCAAGCAGGGCCATTAAATCTGACAGAATATGATGTTTTTCACATAGAATGGCTTTTTTTTAATTTATTTATTTTTTTTATTCACTCTGGTGATGTCTAACTTCCATCTCTGTTCCATACGTTAGAAAGCATTTTTTTTTTATGTGAACAGCAACATTCATACAGCAGGGTCACCAAATCCAACAAGGCAGCATAACAGGTTACTGAAATCTGTTACCCCCCTCTGTTTCACACAGAATGGATTAAATGTTATCCATATTCACTCTGGTGATGTCTAAGTTTCTATCTTCTATATTTTAGAAATCATTTTGGTCTGATGTGAACAGTTGCAGATATACAACATATTCACAGAATCTGACAAGGCAGCATATCAGGTTGCCAATCAGTTTCTGTCATCTGTTTTACACAGAATGGCTTTAATCAATGTCCAGATTCACTCTGGTGATGTCTAAACTCCCTGACCTAATGCCCTGATAAATGAGCTTGATTAATACAAAACATCTCAAAACTTTGCACAGCTTTTCAGATGCTGCCTTGCTGCCAATGGCATGGAAGTTGGTATAATGGGGGGGCATTTAAGGCATCTCCAATAGGCTACTGCTGACATTTCTCAGCTGATTTTTACTTCACATTTATATGGTAGCTACCTTTGCATACAGTTAATTAAAGTAGAGATGCTTATGATTTAGGCCATATTAAGCCATTTTGATAAAACCATGCACAAAATTTAAAACGTTAGTGGTGCAAGTTTAACACCATTAGCAGACAAATATTTCAAAATGTGTTACATCACTCCCCGGTCACCCCTACTTACACATTTTTGCATATTTTGGCTATAAATAGGCTATATAGTCTCTATAGACCGTTCACAAGAAGAACAAACTTTTTAGTCAAATGAAAGGGAAATTCTGGGTCTTGTAGTTCTTGAATGTCGCAGAATATCGAAACGACCAGAGCGTAGCACAACTGAAACACAATTTCCCAAAATCCCATCGTACTCCACTGTTTACAGAGTCACTCGGCAAGCCGAAAAGAGACGAACATCGGGGCGATGGACTGTTGCTGGACTCTGTGAAGAGTCGGGATATTAACTTTCTTAAACAGAGGACGAAACATTTGGGAAAATACCGCGGACACTTTTGCTTCAACTTCGTCGGAGAGAGGTGAGAGAGAGACTACACAAGAATAAATGGACTACTAAGAGTTTTGTTCATGAATTATGGTTCATTAAATATTTATCTTATCTGCGGGAGAGCATAGCGCTCCTGCTGACCCCGCCCCTAGGTTACAACAACTGCCATGAGAAACTCGCATGTAGAAATTAAAAAAAATAAAAAAAAACTACAAACTCAACGAGGAAGACAAAAGTGTATCAGTTGGCCGGAGCTGATGTTTTATACTGTTTAACGCAATGATGAAGTCAAGAAGAGGTCTGGTTCCGTGAGTTTATTTAGGGCATGCAGTTCATAAAATGACTCTGGTTTTCACAAATGCGTTTGCTGGAAAAAGTTAATGTGTACATGCTTGGTGTTATTTCTGTCTTTTTCGTTTTGACATTGTTGACGGGTAGAACATTGAATTAGGTTCTGTTGTCAAAGACGGACGATCTGCTGATGTTCAACAGATAAAATGGCACAGAATCTGCATTACGCTTGCAACAGCATCAGATGAAGCTGCAAGTAGCGCAATAAGTACAAATATATACATTTTCATGTAAAACAAAGAACAGTTTTTTGTATGCTTTTTGCTTTGTAGGTAGGCTACATAGAAATTCACATGCAAATCCGTCCTCCGCACATCCGTACATCTCTCTTTCTCTCTGCATATTAACGGTTTGGTTGTCTAATAATTTGTTAATCAAATCTAGTAGTTACAGGAAGAATCTGTGATGATACAGTCGTCATAGGAGTTACATGGAACTGTAACAGACAGTACAGTATGCTCACAAATCCTGTTTCTACAGTAAACCTATTTCTTATATCAGCCGGGTTATTCCTGTTATGCAGTACATTTCCATGTCTCCATGCCTTAGTATGTTGGATAAACCACAATTTTTTATATGAACATAGGAATAATAGGGATAGTGTAGAAGACTGAAAATGTGTGATGCCATTTACAGAAATACTATGAGGGAAATAATATGGCATCTATTTTTGAAGTATTACTTAATTACAGAATAAGTACTTTCAGATAACAAAATCAGAGTATTATTATTATTATTTTTATTATTTAGCACTTAGCATTTTGGCATGTTTTGCTAGTTGCAAATGTAACACTGAATGTATGTTTTTAGTATGTTATTCCAATGCACTGGATTTGGAATGGGTGTCCAGTCAGTTAAGTTAATAAATAACTTGCCAACTTGTAATTTGCCAGCTTCTGGTGATCGAAACTGAGTGGAGGAATGAGATTTAGGGATGAACTGAATTGGAACCGAGAATGTGAAAAGGCCCATGCTATATAAGCATTAGGTAATACTATATATTTAGGATGGATTCAGCTTAAACTATAATAACAAAAGAATGAAGATCCATGCAGCAATCAGTTTTAGAGTCCTCAACTTGTTTTGTTTTTTTCACATCATGGGTTACTGATAATTTCATATTTAATATTTCCAATCACATGTTGTTATTTAGTTCATGCAGTGAGCCACTTGTGGTTTAAAGCCAATTATGCTGTCTTTGAAGACATTAAATTGGTTTAGACTTAAATATATTTTTTCTTTGTTTTAAACATTCTGTTTATAGAGCTCTGCAGAGCTAATATTTTTTATGTTTTCTATTTGAAACGGCTTTGTTTCTGTATTATGTACTATAGTGAATGACACTTCTAACCACACATTATATGTACAGTACTGTATATTGCTTTACATTCGTAAATCTACAGGCCTTTTAATGGTTAGAGCTACTGTTGGGCGTGTCTGTTTAATGATAAACCTGAACACAGACCTTGTCATAACCTCTGACCTCTGCAGGTGGTGGAGTGGTTGCCATGATGGATAAAATGTCAAGTTTCCTGCACATTGGGGATGTTTGCTCCCTTTATGCTGAAGGCTCTACCAGTGGCTTCATAAGCACTCTAGGGTGAGTTGATTGACACTGACTGTTGTGATAAAATGGTTTGAAATTACATGTTCATAAAATTTAATTGAAAGCAGATTAGCGGATATTATGAGCAGGGTATTTAAAATGAATTTGTTCCAAGAGATTATTACAGCAAATAAATCATTAACAAGCAGAGCCAGCTCATTTGTTTAAGGTCCAGACACTCTTTTCTTATTAATTCCTTAACATTAACCCCCCTCTGTTTTTTGCTGTCAAAAATCTTAAAAGAATAGTTCACCCCAAAAAATCTCATTTACTCACCCTTTGTATGAAACTTTGGAAACTTGTATGACTTTATTTCTTTCATGGAACACAAAAGGAGATGTTTAGTAGAGTGTCCAAGATTTTTAAAACAAGCTTTTCATTAAAAACTACACAATTTTTACCCCCTTCATCAAACAAACCTATCAAATGACTTCAGAAGACTTTTAATATAATGTGTGAGTCATGTGGAGTACAAAAATTCCTCCTATTGTGTTCCTTGGAAGAAACCCAACGTAATACAGGTTTGGAACGATAAGAAGATGAGTAAATTTTCACAGATTTTTAATATTTGGATGATCTAACGCTTTAAAGATCAAGACTGCATGAAATTTGCTGTGGCTGAATGCTAATCTTTGATGTGTAGATAAGAATAACCAGCTGTCAGCAGTTTAACCCTGTGTATGTGTGTGTCTGTGTTTTTGGCTGACTGGTCATGGAATTTGGATGATGTCCAGTAAGCTGCTGCTTTGGGCCAAAAAAGGCTAAATACAGGCGCATACTTACAAGTGCACTCCATTATTTACTCACTCAAACGCACAGATGCTCAGACAAAACAAAAGTACAAACATCTATAGGGTAACACTCTCGTTGTTTGTTTCAATCAGGTTGGTTGATGACCGATGTGTTGTCCAACCAGATGCAGGGGACCTGAACAACCCACCCAAGAAGTTCAGGGGTGAGCAGTTTGTGTGTGTGCGTGTGTTTGTGTGGATGTTTCACCAGTTTATTTTCAGTTAAGACAGGAAGTTCAGTTACTTAAACTGGACTTTGAAGTCAAAGGTCACACATACCCTAGAGAAAAGTTTGTCATTTCCATGAAAACCACTTAATTTAGCAAGTCATCCTACATTCTTTGGAATTACTATTCCATTATATTCCAAAGCTTGTATTGTATTATTGTCAAACAAATCTTTGAACGCATAAATCTGTGGACGTTTACTTTGTTGTGGAAATTGTTACCAACACAGAAAGTGCAGATCTACTTAGTTGAAGGACTTGAAAAATGAATGTACTTCAAAGGCTGCTCACAAGATTGTGTGTGGTTGAGGCTGACTGCCCTCTAAACTCCCCACATCACTCAAAATGCATCTGCTGGTGACATTGAGAAGCTACATCAGGAGTAGGTGTGTGAGTGAGTACATTTATACATCGTGTGTACTGGTTTCCATCAATAGTTGGCTACTGAATATTAAAGGAATAGTTTGTCTCAAAATGAAAATCCTGTCATGAATTACTCATTCCCATGTTGTTCAAAACATATGTGACCCTGGACCACAAAACCAGTCTTAAGTCGCTTGGGTATATTTGTAGCAATAGCCAAAAATACATTGTAACATTTTACACTGTATTCCTAGTTCTTTGAAGCCATACATAGTTTTTTTTTTTCCTGTGAGGAAAAGACATTAAGTCATGATTCATTGCTAATCTTCCCCCCATCACAGCTATTAAATTTCATACTCACTAGTGCATATACAAACTTGGCACATCATGAAATGTGAAACATGCCATTTTTGCATTAGTGACAACCACAATTGGTTGCTGTAACCAAATTTGATTAAAACACAGAAAAAAACAGTAATATTGTAAAATTCTATTACAATTTAAGATAACTGTCTTCTATTTTAATATATAATAGCCATTACTCCAGTCCTCACATCTCCATACTCCAGTGTCACATGATCCTTCAGAAATCATCAGCTGATTTGGTGCTCAAGAAACATTTTTATTATTATCAATGTTAAAAACAGTTGTGCTGCAATATTTTTGTGGAATTGCTGCTTTGAACAACATAAGGAACTATCCCTTTAACTTTTATATATTTCTCTATCGAATGCATTTATCTCAATAACTCAACCCGGCTGATAAATAAGCCTTGCGCAATGTGCTTGAGTCTGTGATGAAGAGAAGGAGAGGAGAGATAATTGTCTGATGGTCAGTGGGCCCCCATAGAGAGGAATGCGTACTATTTCCTTCAAATATAAACACATACCAAAGCAAAACGGAAGCATGTGATGGTTCATTTTATGTTGTTATTATTTCATGAATATATTTGTTTTTTGGGTATGCATTCATTTCCAAGAGATCAAACTTATCTGGCAGAAGATAAACGAGCAAAACAGACTGGCATTGAAGGAGGGACCTGAGCTATATCATAGTGGTTTGGTGTGGGGAATTTTTAAAAAACTTTTTAAGGACCAGTAAGCAACACCCTGGCAACCACCCAAAACACCATTGTATTAGCAGTGTGAGCATTGTGGCAGCAAATTTTCTCTCTCAAAAAACAAAAAAAAGAAAGAAAATATATATATTTTTTTGTAATCAGAAACTCTTAAACACTGTGGTTTTTATACGAGAGTGTTTTCTACATTCCTCCAATGACCCCAGAGCTTTTTGGTGTTTTATCATCCCAATCTCCAGAAACTAGAAACAGACCAGATTCTCTCTCTCTTTCTCTCTCTCTCTCTGTCAGTCTGTCTATCTCTGACTCCCCCTCTCTCCTTATTTGGTAAGACTGGAGTTCTGCTGGAAAGAAGAACTGCATTTTCACTTTTATGACTGTAGCACTTTTCTTATCACTTTTGAAAAACTGTATGTGTTTTCTGTCATACTACATCCTCCTGAATTTATGCAAATTTTTTGATTAAGTTCTGTTGAAAATGTTAGAAGTTTTTTTTTTGCATCTGATGTGAGGAGACTAGTCCTTTTTTAAAACGTTATGCACATGTATGCTCAAACCACACAGACAGAGTTTACCTATTGATTTTCATACTGATTTTCTTCCTTCCCTTTTATGATCACCTTGTCATCCTCATCAGCAGGTTTTGAAAGCTGTGTGTGTGTTTAAAACACAGTGTGATTGTGTGTGTGTGTGTATGTGTGGTGTTCTGTTTGTCTGTGCTGGGATGAAATGTGTGTTCCCTCTCTCTCTCTCTTTCTCTGTCTGTAGACTGTCTGTTCAGACTGTGTCCCATGAACAGATACTCGGCACAGAAACAGTTCTGGAAAGCTGCCAAACCTGGAGGAACCAGCACCACAGATACTGTTCTGCTCAACAAACTCCATGTGAGTGCAAGCTTAGTCTTTCCCTAGCCACGATCATGATCTGTTTGTTTATATTAATATAGGGAATTCCATTGGCTCCTTCAGAATAATGCTGCTCATAATAGCTGGTCTAGAATTAGTATCCACAAATTCACAGATGATTGGCTGGTGGAAACACATGAACATACACAATCCCAAACCCTTTAGTAACAACTATCCTGAGGTACAACATTACATTCAAAATGAAACGGTGGTAGTGACAGATGTTTTCTTCTATATTGCGACATACATCCAAATGAAACAGTTGATCAAATAGAAAAAAATGTTGGGTGGGGACTTCCTTCAGATTTTGACTAGATGGAGACCGATTATGAATGTGAGCTTGAAGTCGATTGTCAGAAAGGAGCAGGGTTTAAGCAGTCTAAATTATTGGAGAAGTCCAGCACATGTTATGACAGTTAGGAATTTGTGAAGTAAAAAAAAAAAACTTTAAAGGCAGCAAACATGGAAAAAGAAAAATTAATTTCCAAGAACAGGAACTTGTTAACATTAAATAATTTTTGTTTTATTTCATAGGAATATACTGCTATTTTTTAATGACTGTCAATTAGGGCTGGACAATAATTCAATATCAATATGTATCGCGATATAATTTTTGTGATATGTGATATGATTTTTAAACACATTTCCGATATTTCGATATACATTACCAGTGTTTCCCATACATTGATTTATTTGTGGCGTTTGACTTCGTTGAATAAACATGAGCACTGCACGTTTCAAAATCATAACACGGCGCGGGTGTTTTATATGAATGTATCTCTGAAGGGAATTGACTGTCTTCAGAAATGTTTCGATGAAATTTTCATTTGATCTGATAAAATAGCATTCATGAGCGAAGTTGCTTTGATTACAGCCATTACTGGAGAAACCGCTAGTTTTATCACTCTAAAAGTATGGGATGATATTAGACTCTAAATGATTAATAGATGCACGCACAATTATCCACGTACTGCATAAATTGTATGCATGTATCTTACTAACCACAAACAAATACCTTTCAATTTGAGTCTGTGGAATTCAGGATTAAATGATTGTACAGCGATTTTTACAAATACAGACATGTTTGCGAATAAAAATGTTCTGTTCTGCATTAATATATCATAAATTGCTCGAGCAGAAAGTGTCCGGCTTGACGGCTCCGTTTTCAACTCCGCCCCCGACTGCAAGCGGCTACTCTCGTTGACTGCCGTCTGTAGCCGTGCTTCAAGTCGAACGCACCTAATGTTACATTGTGTTTTCTTTGTATCTTTTTGGCTTGGCTATTCTTCTCTACCGTAGAAATATAATAAAGATGTTTTATTGAACTTGTTCTAACTTAACTTGTCTTAAGACACAGACTAGCTTATATTAATTTTGCCAAGAAAAACTTCATGACGGTACCTTGTTTTTTTTTTTCTTTCTGTAATTCAACGGCATGTTGTCAGTTATTCCTTCCTTGTAGGCTATTATTATTATTATTATTATTATTATGCAAAGATGAAGTTGACGATGCTGATTAGCCATCTCTGCAGTACGAGAGAAATGCACCTTTCAAATAGGCCTACAGCATTGCAAATGCTGCAGCCTGTTCATTATCAGAATAAAATACAGTCAACCAAACATATAGATACACTATGGAATCTAGATACACTGGTTAATTAAAATAGCCCGTAGTACAATCTGTGCCGTTCAGCCTGAGCTCGGGCCAAGCTCATATTTGCTCGTGTGAAGAGGATGATTTTTCATGTGAAGAAGACCATGATTTTTTTTTTTTGGAAAGCGGGTTAAGTTCAAATCCTGGCTTACACAGGCCTAATAAATAATAGTGTGTTGCATTCAATTTCAAATAGCCAACATTGTGAATATGGAAGCATTTGGATTCGTGCCAAATGAGAGAGTAAGAAAGAGGATTATAGGGCCAAACAATAAAAAAAAAACATCTCCAGA